TTGGACGAAAACTATAACTCACACGTCGTTAAATTATACGAGGCGTCGGTCCAACAAATGAAAACTTCTTAGAAAAACGTTAATTACCGACAATAAAGGCACAATATCGAATGGAGTCCAATTAATTAATTTATATGGGCACCAAACGAACGTTCCAGTTGTTATTAAATCAAATTAACTCATTTCGGTTAGGATTAGATGCTGCATCCTGCGATGATAAAATTGGTTTAATTACTTACTAAAGTGCTAATAGAGTTGGGAATATTAAGAAGGCGATTCTGAAATGAAGGAAACTTCGATAATCCTAATTAAGCGTTATCGTCGTCTCGCATTAATGTCTCAAATTCGATTGAATAATTTTCTGTGAGCAATCTTAATTATTCTTTCCGAGCGGCAATGAAAACTTTATGTTGGGGCGTCTTCGAAAGGTAACTATTATTAAAATCCACTTACTTTTCACATCGAAATAGAGTGTGAAAAGGCGTCATTTCACGCAGTAGTGTGAAAAGTCTTTAAAAATAACAAATCAATTGTTATTCCTTGATGGTTTGACTGGACGCGCGATTTAATTGCACTTGTAAATTGGAAAACTTGATTGTTCCTAAAAAGTAGCAAAAGCCACTACATAAATTTAATAATGCTATTGCTTGTTTCTATTTTATGCATGTGATCTTCAGTGTTTGGAAATTAACATGCATCTCTAGACAATTGAATCTGTTTGCAATGGAAAACTATTCAAGATGGCCGTGGAAATACCATTACCACCTTGGTATTTAGGTGGTAATGGGAAATACGGCAAATTTAATCGGTATCATATTTTATTTTTTAATCAAACTGATCGGTAGCACACTTATTTTTGGAGGTGCAAGTTCTCTCCACTTAAAAAGTGCGTCTGACGTAAAATGCAATCCTGAAGTAGATAATGCACATAAATACGTTTTTTTTGTCTCAAAAGGGTTGTGAAAAACAACCAATTGAAATAATTTGCCCCACATTTAAGGCTTTGGTAACGGTGAATTTAAATACATACATGAATCAGTATTGCAATAGGAGATTGTAATGAAAGGTGGTTGAGTGTTCCTTCTTGAAACAAAATTTTTAGAAAATAATTAGTACTTGACCAACGGCTAGCCAATAACAATAGTTATTTATAAAAAAATCAGAAAAATGACATTACTGGCCAAGAAATATTGAAGTACGAGGCCCCTTCAGAGCTGAGTACTTTGATTTCCGAGTGAAGTATTTTAAAATAGAATTTTTATTTTCATATAGAACTTTTCATTAATGTCAATCTGTCAGTGATGACAGGAGTCATTATAGAAATTTAGCAACGTGACAGGTGCAGCAGGAAAAGTAATCTAGTCTCCCTCTGTCATGGAAACTAAAACTTCCTAACATAAAGTAGGCATGAAAATGTAGGTTTAAAGCAGATTTTGGGTAAAAATTTTTACTTTACCAATCTCTCCTGAAAATTTTCTTTGTCTTGATTGCTAGTAAAAGTAAACACTAGGTGACCAGATAGTTTTGGCAAAAAATGAAATGGATCCAATATACATTTACCTTTTACAGGATTTTCTACAGATATTTTGTGCTAATAACTCCAAATATAAAGCAATGGCCACGGTTTCTGCGAAATACATCTAGTTTAAGTTCCGAATAAGAACAATATAGGTACAGCGAAAATTTTCATTCACACTTTGACTTTAAAATATTGACAAACAATCCAAATTTTCTATACTAAACTTTGAATACACTCTTTAAACCAAAACTGACTTCTCAATAGTTCAAATTACATGTTCTACAAAAGGCTTAATACTTGCCCTTTAGGTTACATTCTTTAAGAACATACGTACCAATTAAATTTTACTTTTTTCTGATAAAACTACAATAAATGAGTAATTATGACAATAGTTCTTAAAGAGATTCAACCCTTTAATTTGACATTATTAAAATCAATAGCACTGTACTTCGTAAACAAATATTCTTGTAGATAAAGGTGTTGAATCCGAAGAAGCAAGCTCGGAATGTCCTTTTCACATTGATAACGATATGGAAACTTAATTAGTAGAGATGCGTCTTTGGTGAATTATTCGACTGGGTTAGTTCCTGATGAGCTTGTAGGTCACCAAGAAGCAAGAGTGTATTTATTGTTAAATGGATAAAACTAACAATTTCTTTAGGGGAGAAATTTCCACTGTGCACGTGTGTATATAACATTTATGTGGGCGATTAACCGGAGTTTCTCTTAAAAAATGACAGTTCAATTGTCTTTTGTCGCGTACTCAAATACGTAACTCGATAGCGTAAAATACTTCCTTAGACCGCTACCAAATTTCTTTAAATTTTTTTTTAAGTCATGGAGTACGATTGACTCTCTCGTTATCAAGACGCGAATTATTATTTCTTCTCCCTGGCAAATCCACTTGATGTTCACACCTTTCTTTGTACGTTTAATAAGTAAGTGCACTATCTTTTCTCAAGAAGAAATGTTACTGGAAATCGCCCCGAAATGAATGGGTTTTGCTGAATTTGTACTTTGATACTGGGTAGGATACGCTTACTTTTTTGATCAGCTTTTTATGTAACTAAGTGTTACCAGATAAGATTGCTGTTTTTTATCTGTGTCTCGACTTCCTGAACCAATTAAATCTCAAAGCTCTAAACCTGAACATTTTGACACCCTACGAATTTCTATGATACACTATGCCTAAACTGCTAAAAAAACCAGAGAGAGATACCGTCATAGCGTGTAGATGTCCGTTAACGTATAAAAACAACCCCCAACATCAAATTTTGTTAACTGTAATAGCACATAATCAGACCTTATTTATTATTAATGTAGGTTCTAGGTGGAATTTATTGCTCCGCACATTCGGCGGAATTTTTTTATGAAATTGGGGGGTGTTAGCATTAAGCTGGAACCAACATCAATGTCTAAAATGTATTTAGATTGTAATATATTACAAATGAGGAGTAGACACCTGTGTTATTAGAGACAAGCATTTAATTGTTACAACAAACAGACTTTTTCAGAACGGATCTGCCCACCGATTCAAACACAAAGTCGGCACAATTATTATCATGAAAAACAGATTTAAGAAAATTGGCAACAATGATTTAAAATAGAAGCCCTACAAAAATTAATAAATACATTCAATAACACCAAATATCTCAAAACGTTGGTAAACAAAATTTCGTTTTCAAACCAAAGTAATTTGAGCATTATCCACGACATACAATGCTATAAAAAATCGAAGACCAGCAAACAAATTAACCAAAGTATTTTCAGAAGGTTTATTAAGCAGCACGAGTGTTCTGGCAGCCATCTAAATTTGTACCGTGTAGACCTAGGTGTAGACTATCCTAATTTGAAAGATGGGGAGTGTACCGTTTCCACTTTTTGAGAGATTTTCCTTTTGTAATTTGAAAATAGGCTACAACTTCGTCTCTCCTTTCCACTCTCAACAAAATAACAACACTAATAGGCCATATTGAAGAAAACTAAAAAAAATACTGCTTTATTCACACCAAATATCAAATCAAAGATAAGCTCCATAATGGGATTCCGTAACACAAACATATTCAAAATTATAAGTTACGTTAGACACAAATCTGAGTATCTTGACTGTGCAATTGAAAATTTTTCTAGTTTAACAAAACCTCCAATCAAGAATGATCGACTACCAAACTAATTACTGAATCTTAACACAACTTTCCACAAATAAATTGATTCTGCGGGCACAAATTCGTAGATCTCGGTACACAATTAATTGACCAACGTCTGAAGGGTCTCGATTTACTCGTAGTAAGCTTCTATCACAGGTACGCCAACCGCTTCAGAGGGAAGTGGCAAAATCCAATAGCATTCCCGTGTCTAACGCGTAATTCGATAGAATGGTAGATAAAGCGTCTCCGCTGGTCAATTAGAACTAGATTTTGAACCAACACTCGAACCCTATAATTAAAACCCTAAAAGAAAATCAAAGGTAATCCCTCTTTTTTGATAAACTAAAATGTACATACCTCTTAAATGTGTGGGCTAATTATAGATGAACGCAACAATCGTCGATGGAAATTGTAATATGACAAATATTAGCCGAAACCTAAAGAAAAGGTGTACTTCAATTATTACGGAAAATGCAAATGGCGGTACTTACGATAACAAGATAGAATGCAAATTATATCCTCCCTACGGAGATCTATTATAGATGAATCCAATTGCAAATAAAATATTGATGATGGCAATTTAAATTCCTTGCGTTTCAGCAGTTTGTGTTAAACAAAGTGTAACTGGATAAGGTTCTCACCAGACAAAAAGTGAAAATCGAACCGTACTGCACACTATAATTGCGTAGTCCAAATTCCGACAACAGATGGAACTATCTATTCAAAACTTAAGAGGATCTTTCAAAGAAATTTACCGTGAACAATAATAATGCTTTTAATGGAGAAAATTAACTGTTACATTATTTATAATAAAAATATTAACACAGTCCACAGGTCTCACATGCAAAAAATTGGCAATTATGATTTGGTCTGCAAACGTGAATGTACATAGAATTTTACGTATAATCTAAAAATGAAATAATAGACATTGGGTCCAAGATAAGGATGTCTATCATGGGGATCTCTGAAACCAAAGGATATACGATCGGACATATTTCCCATTTTCCAGAAAATTTGTTTGATAGGTATTTTTGCACGAATATGGCATTGTGCGCGGGTGTACCATCCTGTTGAAACCAACAATTTCCCACTTTTGTTTTTTACTTTTTTGTACTTTTTCAAATAACATCAGAAAGAAAGTTTGAACCGAATCAGTCAGGCAGACAGACGGACTCCTCTATAAAACTTGCATTTGCTCTGTCGCTTAGTTATCAACTCACACGTGTACTACATTTACGACACGATACTACGGTTGCCATAAGCAAACTGACAATCGATTTCTAGTCTTAAGTATATGACTTTTTTATTTTTATCTTCAGTTTTATTTGTTACAGGTCCATTATAATGATTTTGGCAATCCGCGGGAAGGAATTTTATTACTAACAGGTGAGCAAAATTGCATTGGTAACTAGATAGCGATTAGGTTAAATGGGAAAGGTTTGTAAGTTTTGTGTGCGGACTAAAACATTCCGTTTAGAATATTTGAAATATACCAGGCCCGATTAAATTTAGAAAAACTGAAAAGGCTTACGAAAAATAAGTTTAATTTGAAAGTTTCTCAGTTCGGGACAAATTCAGAAATTGTGTCAGTATTATGGTGGTTTCTGAGACATGCATATCAACTTCGTTTGTTTAAATAGATTTTTACATGATTAATGAACGTTTTTTTTTATTGCGCCCTAGCATTAATAATTTGTTTATACTTTATTTGCGATTAAAACATAAAACAGTTTTTCAAATCTCATATAAATTAAAAATCTAGGTACTTATTTCCTACCTATTGTGGGTCACGAACTTATAGTTAACCTCGTTATGGAAAAGTGATTTTTTATGTTGATTTTCTTCTTAAAATAATGGATAAGCGCATATTACCAAATTCCGTGATATTAATACTATAGTACATAATTTAGGCGCGAGAATCTCGAAAATAAAAAAAGATCTTTCGGATCATTAGATTCATTCTCGTAAAAGGATAATTTCATTTAACAAAGCCTTATACTTTCTACAAATAAAGCAAAACAAAATGGTACTATTGGCCAAATATGGAAAGCTTTGGGCCGATACCTATATGTAGGGTACTAAAGAACCTATAACTTCTGCTTGGCGATCATTATCAAACCATAAAAGAACACGTTCGTTATCGAACCACATAAAGTAACACTACATTAATGACATTTTATTGAAGCAAATGATACTAACTAATTATGTGGAGTTACAAACTCATTTAATCAGGTAATTGTCTGGTCCGTGTGTATTTTACTGAAACTCATCGTGACAATACAGGTGAATGTTTTTCAATTACCAGAAAGTGTAAAGGAATTTGGGGCTCGATCTTACACTCTCTACACCGCATACCGTTGGTATGGGAGCGTGAAAAAAGTCCAAGCGAAACAAACTTGTAAATCTGTTAAATTACACGGTTTGGTGAAAGAAGGCATCATCTTCGATTGGACCACCCACATGTTATTATTAAACACACAAACCGCAACTAGTAACAGATAAGAATAAAACACATTTTTATTCTACACATCGTGATTTATTTAAATGGTGGAATCCACCCACATACGCCTGTGTTTTATTACCCATTCGTTGTCATTCTTTTGTTCTTACAAAGTCTGTAGGCCAAAGAGTTTGATGATATACTTGCATAATATGCGTCGATTACTTATTTATTTATGTAAAGTGGTGACATTAATGTAGAAAGACACGCTAGTCATCAACCTGTTGCAATGCAGATGAAAGATGAGAATACGTTGGCTGCCTATTTCGGAATTCTCTTTGTGCCCATATACTTTTGTTCAGTGTATTTGAAGGCAATGGTGAAAGAAACAATATAATTTACATCAATGAAGGTTTATTAAAAATACTGATCTAGATTATGTTTGAGAAGGGTTGGTGCATTTAATTTGGAGTTATGATGCTATATTTCACCTCAAGTGTAAATAATCAGGGTTGCTTCGTTTTCAAACTCTTAATTGTTATTTTGCAATTTGACTAGGTACATTATTCCTTTAGATTCTCGTTTTTTACATTAATCAAAATTAAATAATCGATCTCTTTTATCGTTAAATCTTTAATCATTCAACATTACTAGTGTAACGACTAACGGTAGCTTGTAAGTTGGAATTTTCGAATTTTTATGACTAAAATTTCGGTGATTTTTAGTAGTCCCATAAGCTTCATAACAGAAACTATACAGGGTGGTATAGGTTTGGAAATTTCGAAGTTTTAGTAAACAGAGATTGTGTGGCGGTTAAGTTTAGAGATTATTTTCTTAGTATAATAAAATTCAGTCCAAAAACAACATTTGTTTCGGGTATTTCTTGAATCGGAAACCTTCACGCGAGTTCCGCAGGAAGCTTGGGTAGTCGTTTCCATAGAATAAATATTGATTTTTGTTTTGAACTTCATTTTATTTCGTGCTCCGCGTCCCACATTTAATATGTATGACAGATATTAGAATGCACAACCTTTTGTTTCAATTTACAAACATTGTATCTACTCTTACTGTTAAAGAGAAACTTAGCCTACTCATTTAAACCTAATGTCAATTTAACATCTGATTTAAAATAGAGAATTTTATATTTCTGTGTGCAATGGCGTGCGGTTACCACACCCTCTCACGAAACACCTGCCCAACTAGCTCAAAACAAATCAAAATTGAAACTTAGAATTTTATCATATAAATAATACTAATTTGAGACACCTGACCCTACTTCAAAATTAAGGTTGCTTTTCTCTGGAACCGTAAGTCACAGGTGCCTGATATACTTCATGCTCTCGTCCCTCCTCTGTCAAGCTTAATAAACTACGCGTCGAGATTTTACAAATTGAAAAAGTTAAGGCTTTTGGAAGATCATTTCAGTTTCTTTTTAACTTTTTTGGGCCCTAAAGAAAGAAGGGCCTGTGGAAAAATTACTATAAAACGATTGACTATAAACTATCATTTTTGCGCAATTCTGAAAAAATATCCGAACTTTCACTTTTTCGCAGGAAACGCCCAAGTCTTTGCCGAATATCGGGAAAATTTAAATTTTCGAAATTGAACACTTTTTCTTTACTAACTTGGTCGCGTAGAATACAAAAAAAAGTATGTTTTAAGATTTAATTTGGGCTTTTAAGGGCCGGAATAGTATATTGAAAGACAAGTGTTACAATGCGACCTATTGTAATACTACTATCTTGTGGCACGAGTGGCGTAGCGAAGAGACATAGATATAGAGAAATGATTGAAAAAGAAAGAAGAGGGGAAAAGAAGAGAAAGACAAAAGATAAAAAAGTAACAAAGAAAATGTAAAGAAAAACAATGGAGAAACAGAAAGAATACGAAGAGAAAATCAGAGAAATAAAAGCAGAAAAGGATTTTTGGAAGGTGATAAACAGGGGAGAAAAGAAAAATAGAATAAGCGGAAATGGAAGAGAACAGGATGTTGGAGGAAACACAAATGGGCTTCAGAAATGGGAGAGGAACGATCGACTGTATATACGTATTACACAGATTGATGGAAAAGGAATTGGAAACTACCAATAGTATAGACGTGGTTACTGACCGACGAAAGTGCATTTTCCCCGCACGGAATCAGTAATAACTCGGGAAGCAAGTAACTAAAAAAAAATCTTTTGTCGTTCTGGCCTCGGCGCTCTGCTACAACGTATAAGAAAGAAACTACAACGAAACAGTTTAAAGTGGATGACATTGGTACAAACGGTCAGACGGACAAAGCGCGAGTGGAAAGGGAATGTGTATAGAAGATGATGGAAGATGGGAAAATTGACAAGAAGTTGGGACAAACTCAAGAAGATTATGGAAAGACAGGGTTGAGGGTTAGAGAGGAAGGAGTCTGAAGTGTTTTGGACCAAGACAGAGATGCTCCCTATTTAAGAGACATGGAAAAAGTATTAAGACAGGGCCAAGGTGGAGGGTTAGTTGGCGGGACGAAGAGAGATATGGTCTCTGGCATACACAGTGATCATTGCAACAGAGATATAACAGGTGAAGGAAACGACGGGAAGAATGAAAAGGCATTGGGAAAGGAAAGGAGCGTAGCTAAATGTAGGAAAGTCGAAAATGATGAAATTTGGGAATGTAGATCGAAGGAAAATGGAGATATAATGGAAATGAAGGGCGGATAGAGTAGAAGAGGTAAAGGAAATGAAATGTTTAGGGTTCCAAACGCAAATAAACAATGGGCCAAATGCACAGATAACAGAATTAAGGCGGAGGGGGGCGGAGGTGCTCGATGCAATAGTGAGAGAGGGCCTATGTACGGAGTGGAGGTATAGGGGTTGCAACGTTCCCCTAAGGCACTTGCTACAGTGTCGGTTCTAACTCAATCTCAATGTGAAAGCAATTTAGGGTGTGGGATTACAAATAACTCGCGAACGGTTTCGAATCTTACAATTCTGGTCAGTTTTATGTGTACCATCACTCAAAAAAGGACTAATTAAATTTATGATCCAGGAACTCGTTTGCTATATTCGTTACAAGTTTATTGTAAAAAGTTTTGCCAAGCTTTATTAAAATTAGCCATATTTCAACACTTTCTTTGCATGAAAACTATACGAGGTACAACAAATTTTAGGTACTTTTCTACGTTATATATTAAATTTTTTGCGTAAATAAGGTGGGAACCACTAAAAACATTATTTTTAGGGTTTTTTTATGATTTCTCATAGTTGCGGGAAACATTTTTATTGTACACATTCAGATTGGTGTTCTGCACACCAAAAAACATAAAATAAACCCCCTACTACCGTTTGACTGGACTATACAGGGTGTCCCTAAAAGGTCTGTACAACGCGCTACCATGGGTTCTTGGTATCAAAATAGGACGATTTAACCCAACTTACCTCTATCCAAAAGTGCTTCGGTAAGGCGCTATCTACCGCCAAAGATTTTAAAAAAATCGTTATTTTTATTTTATCGGAAAATGGTTTTGCCGATTAAAATGAAATTCGGGATGTGAATGTCTAATGTAAAAAGGGTCTTTGTGATATCATCGTTTTGATTGTAGTTGCTATGTAGGTGGTAATAAAACACTGACCATCCACATCTGAAGAGGTCTAAAACTTTTTAACTACTATTTTGACAGTTCTGAAGTTTTAGACACTGATAGACAGTTTACTTGCAAGCATTTTTTGTCTCTTGATGAATATCGCTATCTGTGATGGTTTACGAAAAAAAAAATTTAGGCATGATGAATGGCATGCACCATACATGCGATTGTTCCTCCCTGTATAAAGGATTATTTTCATATAAAAAAGTTTCCTCAAATGTTGAACATTTTGGAATCAAGATGCAGAATACGAAAAGTGTAAAGTGTAATAAAACTATCTTGACCTCAGACAATCGCCGTGAAAAACCCTGCACCTAGGACCTCAAGTCT